TATCATATCCTTATATGCAATCTTTCTTTTATATATTACCACCACTGAATTAATCGCTTCTATGAATCGGGTGTTCATCTTGTTGTGCTAATGCGGTATGGCAACTTGGACCGATGCATATATGTGCTTGGTCCTACATCGTAGCTGACTGACTGACTTATTCACAGAGAAAATAAACTTTCATGTGCTTCTTGGTTATTTATTTTTTTAAACACATAAACATTGATACAAGGAGGTACCAAATAGACATGCGCCACATAAATCATTGGATGTATGTGAGGGCTGGGATACTGCCCGGCTGCCCAGACCGAAGCAGGTGGTTTTCTAACGGAACTACACCCGGAGCCTTCGACCTAAAGGTTTAATCCACAAGGCAATCGAGCAATCTAAGTTGATTCAGTCCCATGGTAGCCGGCGACCTACGATTGGTTTATACGCCATCTGTTCTTCCAGTATACTGGAGTCGATGTGCACCATTGACTTGGAATCAGGGTTTTCCAACTGCCATAGGGTGGTCCTCCGTATCCTTCAACCCGGTTAAATCGCCGGACACAACATCACCGTTATGCTGTCAGTTCATTATTGTATGTTTTATTCGTATCATTTTATAATTCATCATTTGCAGCTTGACCTATTTATTCGTTTTTTTGCTCTTTTTGATGTTATGATCAATAACTAGAATATATTGAAGTTGTTCACTTTACCGAGTGATACAATTGTAGCGAAACGAGCGTATGCGATGAAAGCAGCCAAGGCCAGAGGTTTCAATAATAATAATGATGTTAAGGTGTCATCATCACCAACACAATCACCACCACCGACGACGACATCAAGTGAACCATCTCATTTGGACAAACCAACTCTGCAATCTTCTATCATAAAAGAGGAAAATAAGGATAAAGAGGAACCAGTTAATTCGTCAATGGATACTAGTCTTGCTGCTCCTCCGGCTACTGTTGCAGTCAGCACTACTCAATCCGAATGATTGGTATACATAAAACCTGTTCATCAAGCAGACATGACATTTCTCCCTCTGAGTCTCGCTTGTCTGCTTGTAATGAGTGTTGAATGGACAGTAAATTTATACCTGTGCATTTATGTTATTCACACTGCTAAATTGATTATTCCTAACGTTTGTGGCAATAATAATTATTATGGTTATTAATATAATTGCTAATTTATCTAGCACAACATGTTGTGACGGGCTGATACTAATACACAGTGTGTTACGCGGTAATCCCCCAATTGACTACTTGAGCGAGAACGAAAGAGTAAGTGAAAGAGTGTATTGGGCTACCGAATGACATGCACAAATACTCATTCATATATATATATATATATATATATATATATATATATATATATATATATATATATATATATATATACCACTCAAATCCTTAGGAAATTGGTCCGTTTTTGAGTCAATGACATGCACTTGCCCGTTAAGTGACTTCTGATTTCCATCGATTGATCTTATTAGGTTACTTCTGATTGGCTCTCCATATCATCTTTCCTTGCTCAAAAATAAGTTTTGCCTCTTGGATTTAACTGAAGGAGTTGAAAGAAATGTCGTTTTCTTGAAGTCTGGCAGTCACTTCTTCCGCTCTAATCCTAGTGCTCAAAACAGGCTATAACAATTGAATAATCTAGTAGTAGAGGTTCTTTATCTGAATTTAGTCGTCTAACACATGTGTGGTTTACATGTCATCCATTAGGAAACTGATGTTCAATTCTCTTTGCCTTGATTTTATAAATTCGTCTTCTTTGTGGATATGAAATCGGGATATTTCTATTTTTTAGCTTCATCACGGTTGATAATCCATTATCTTTAGAGAGGCTAGAGTAGGGGAGATAAAAAACTATTAAGGAGATTCGTAATTTCTCTTTTCACAGTATTATTCGTAGTGGATTTTATTGTAAACCGCCTACCTGACACCAGTCAATCTAAATCTAGATGAATCTTATTTAATTTTCAAAAAAATCCTTTTGTACAACCAGTCAAACTTGACAAAAAGATCTACGAACTGTTTTATTAATAGACTATAAACTTTAGACATATTGTAAGCAGTGGTTTGAACATGTGGAGTGTGTGTGTGTGTTGGATTTGGTACTGCATAAATCGATATTGGTTTAACATCGTTTCAGTAGTCAATCAGTACGATCGACAAATAATTACATTCCATGTTGATAAAACCTTATAGTTAATCATCTGAGTATACACAAAATTAAGCAATAACGTTGTAGGGTGTTGAGCTTAAAATAACCGTAACAAAATTTGACATTTATTAACATCCTGTACAAGTTACTCTGTATAAATCGAAAGAATGATCTATGGATTTCTTAAAATCAGAGCAGATTACTTGTCTCTTCCGAACCTTGACAAGGACGGAAATCCATTTCTTTAAGTCCCCCGCATAGATCTCAGTTTGTACTAAAAACCTAGGAACCACGTCAAAATTGATGACATTCATAAATAGACAAGGTATTGGATTTTGAGGGGCCCTTTAATTTGTCTACATTTAGATCGGACGATGTTGTCGAAGGACTCTCCACTTTAGTGGCCCAAGATCTTACTTCAAGTAGATCGCATGAATGATCGTTGTCGAAATATATATGTCGCATATCCTCGTATATAATCATCGACTTAAATTGCGTTAGTCAATAACGGAATTAAATAAGTCAAATAACAAGAATGGACTTGTGAATACATATATTTTGTATATGAAGCGAATGGAATAGAGAGAAGCGAAACAACGCGCAGTGGAGATGGTGGGTAAGCCAACTCCATTTAGTCAAGCGTTAATCAATATTTATAGTCATACAAAATAAGTTACAGACATGTGAAGAGTAATGGGATAAGAAGTGTACACACACCTACGCGCTCATATAAAAACAGTGAAGATTGATCAGCGAATAATTAACAAGGTCTTAATGTGACTCAACTAGAATGAATAGATTGAGCTGTCCGAAAGCTAGAATAACGTATATGGGCTTAACATAATAACAGACACTACAGGCTAATCCTGACCCTAATTCCAGAGTGTTTGTGGTGTTAGCTACTTTGCCCAATATCATTAGACTCGTGAACTCACATCCGCCAAATATAAGATTGTTACGCACTATACTTCAAGAAATCTTAATTTTTACATGCCTAGGTAATTCATGTTACAATACTGAGTAATAGGTTTATATAATTAACTAATTACAATTCATAAACGGTCGAAGATAATACCAACAATCAGTGAGTTATTAAGGAATATTGTAATAATTAAATTCATGAGTTTAGATGTTAAGTGCGCGAGACTGAGGTTCCTTGGTCCGAGTCCCGCGTGTGCGATCGTGGATGCGCACTATTGTGGAGTCCCATACTAGGATGAGACGATCGTCGATTGCTTCCAGGTTTTCAATAGTGGTCTAGCTTAGATCGACTCATGAATTCAACTATTAAGATATAAACATTTGTTGACTTTCAGTGGAATCGACAGTAAGCTCATTGAATATCATCACCCTATTGACCTTAGATGTTGTGATTTAGACAATCTACTAACGTGGAAGTATATATTAATTTAAGTGAATACATGTCCGTACATCAATCTTTGTTTATCCTCCTCCTATTGGTTGTAAAATACAGATAGTCAATCAATAATTTAACCACAATTGATTGACATTCATAAAATACATACATTTCAACCTTATACTCACACGCACATGTACATACGCATTCACTTCTCAGTGTGATTGGTTGCCTTTCATGCTTATAGCTTTTATTGACTATTAACAATGCACTGGTTCTGGTTATTGAATATTTATTCTCAAATCAATTCATATTCCTATGGTGTATGGTACTTATGTTTGTCGATCTAAGTAGTGTGTAACACCAATAGGAAATGGAAAACCTGACAACAGAAGTTTGTGATAGTCGATTTGATGAAAACAGAAAGGAAATGTGAATTAGAAGAATCATACAGAATGTGAAGGACAAATGATGTATTTAGTAGTGTATGGTTCTTATATTTTACCAAGAGGTGCTGCAATTTTGTATTGAAATACAATTAAATTAGACATTTTTCTATGATAAAACTTAAAAGTCACTCTTTCCAGTGACATGTGCTTTATTGAAAATGACTAATACTGGAATGAACCAATCAAATCGACCTTGGAGCTTTGATGTGCAATTCAAAAGTGGATAAATTTCATCAGTTAGAGTGTACTATAAAAATTGCTAAGAAATTTCTAAGTTCTTTAGAAAACATTCATTCTTGTCATTAGAAAGTAAATAGTGATAATGTTTAACACTTTACATAACACATGGGTCAATTAGTGACGTTCAATTTTAATTCAAAGAAATCGTAGTGTTAGGAGTTAATTGCGTAATTGTTGAGGTAGTGCAGTAAAATTTAATGACGACAATTTCAATGTAATAAACGATTAGTTAGAATGTTCATCTTGAGCAGTACAATTCGTTTATACTTGCAGTAACAAAGTGAGATACAGGGTGATATTTGAAATTAGTTAACAGGAAACCCTAAACTTAGATTTCATGTACCTTCCCTACACGTGCCAGACACCTAAAGATCAGAATATCCAATGAGGGATAGATTAAGGTACAATAAAAAAACACCATGAATCAGTAAACCATCAAAACCTTGTGAATATAGAGGAACAAATATCGATCAACATTTATCAGGGTGACAACAATATGATTCCGAATAGAAAGCTTTTAATATCCAGTCGATAATACTCAATGAGATCGGTAGTTTCGAAATAATGATGTTCTACGAAACACTACTACCATTATTATATGAAAAACTTTAGCATATGTACTAATGAGGTGTGAGTTAAACGGCACACGAATTCACATAATCTACAGTCACTTGACATTAAATTTTATCTAAATGTAACTAATGAATAGAGAATTTTAATGACGAACCAAAATGTCAGTTTTAATTTTTTCGATAAGTGCTATCTTTACTACTTAGCTACACGATTTGAGTAATATGAATTTCTTGATTAATGAGAATGAATGCTATTTTCGCATCAAATATTATGCCTTGGATGACATTGCGTGTGATATTACAATTAAACTAAGTAAACCATAGGATGCCCCAGAGTTACACGGTGATTTAAATTCAGACATCACTTGGACTCTGTACTCACATTTCTAACTCTGCCAAGTTCACCTACCATATGGGCGTATCAAAGTCAGTTTGTCTATTCATGAATATACAGGTGGAATACAATTTCTCATAAAGTAGTAATCTCTCCCTCCATCTAGCTAGAATAACCAAGAGTTGCGAATATGAATAATAGGTAAACTAAAAAACCTTGTTTCTGGTTAATACTGCCTATGTTCATATCTTCATAATAGTTCTCGCGAGGCTGAAGCTCCTAGGTTGGATTCCCTATTGTAAGGTTGTGGATGCGCACTTCTAAGGAGTACCATATTTGGCCGAAACAGCCTTCCAGTGCTTTCAGGTTTCGAATGCTTGTTGAACTTAAGTCAGTTCATAATTTCAATGAAATTCATATACTGAGTTAGTGGGGGCAAACCTGGATAAACCATATGTTGATACAGGGTCAGATAGATCAAGTGGTGTTACAAGGACAATTTGTAAGTGATAAATCAAAATGTAGCATCTAGTATGAATAAGTAAGTAATTTGTCTGTGTTAGGTCATCATCAGCAACATATGTGAATGATTTTTAAATACATCTACTAGAATTTTATAATAAAACTTCTCAACCATCTCTCAGTTTATGAGCTATTCAAGTGTCATGTATTAATCAGTGAACTGGTCTGATAGATCATAACAGTATTCTGGTGAACGAAAAAAATCAAGTAAATTTTAAATTTTGACCACCGACCCGGTATCCAGTATCTTAGATTTCTAACTCCAGTCAATTAGCGTTATTGCACTGTCATATTCCAATGTCGTTGACATGTAATTACATCACATCCGACATGACTAACTGACTGACTTACGATAGCTAAAATTTTTCAGCAGAACTCCAGTAGTTCAACCATCGATGACATAAAGATGGCTGTACAAAATTACGAATCCATTGAAATTAAACATAAAATCTACAAGATGCCTGGGCAGCGATACGAAAGTCAAATATTCATTATAAGACTTAGATTTCATAGGTTCGATCAGGATTTAGATCATAGTTGTGTGCTCCTCAGAACTCTCCTACTAGAACGAAACAATTATCCATTTATTCTAACTATGATTGGTTGAGGAAATAAAACTATTTCTTGAAAATAAAATTAACAAAATAAGTATGATAATCTTTGTCATTATTACATGAAACAGAAATGTGAACGTAAGTGCATCTTGAAACCTTAAATACATGACATTCGTAAGATGTCACTGATTTCAAACTGTATATCAAATTACAAATCTATAGTACATAAAAGTCTCGTTTACCAAGTATATGCTTCTATCATTAACATCAGGTTATACTTAATCTAATTTGTGTTGACTAGATTATCTTGTTGTTGATAATACATTGGAGTTTGAATTGAAGGACAGTGAATTTGAAAGCTGGAGTAGAAATCAACTCATTGGTAGACATACATGAATACAATACATGAATTGACGAGTTTAAAATAAGATAAAACAATCATCTTGGATTTCACTGCTAACTAAATTTCATCAGTTCTATACAATTTCAATGTATACAACCCTGAAGTCATGTTCCAATCTTGAACTTAATATTACAAATGGATCATTTTAATTATTCATTTACCATTTAACAAACGTTAGTTCTTTCAAAGGTAATGAACAAATAATAAACTGAAAATAAGATGCAAATAATCAGATGTATTCAATTATACCTAATACTTTTATAGAGTAGATATAGAATCACTATCAATAAAATCTATGACACGTCTTATTCTGTTGAACACTTGTCGTCTGTATTTATTTGCGTTCATCCCTTTTTGATGAATTTAATTTCACAAGGAACAGACATGTATAGTTATAGGAATAAGTAAGTACATATACACATGATTCAACTTAGCCAAAATAAACTTTCTTTATCACTTTCCATCTTTCTTCCGGGCATTCAGCTTCGTGTATAGAAAGAGTGTGTACCAGTATCAAAAACTTGGAAACTACGTATCTTAACAGTTTCCATGTCTACAAGTTCATTTTTCCAGAAAAAAAAAAGATTTTCCTCATAAGTTAGTTATACATTTTATTAACCTTCAATTCAGTAATTCAAGTAATATCCAATATTATTGGTTGGCCGGATACCATTAATAACAACCTTCTGTGGGAGCGAACAAACCAACTTCCAGTTAAAGATGAAATTAGGAAAAGATGATGGAAGTGGATAAGATATACATTACAGAAATCACCAAATTGCATCACAAGGTAAACGCTAACTTGAAATCCTGAAAGGAAACGGAAAGGAAGAAAGAAGAAGAACACATTACGTCGGGAATTAAAAGCAGACATGAAAAAGATGAATAAAAACTGGAAATGTCTTCCCAGAACAGGATTGAATGGAGAGTGCTATTAGGCGGCCTGTGTTCCTCCACGAGGAGTAACAGGCGTAAGTAAGTAAGTAAGTAAGTAATATTATTGATGTATGGTTGAGAATGATTATGACTGGTTGTTTGCTTAATCAAACTTTTAGATAATCTGACAGGTACTAGATGAGTTACATATTCCTTTACCTTTATTATTATTTCAATAGTTGAAATCATGAGTCAATTGAAGCTAGACCACAATGGAAAACCTGGAAGCATTGAACAGCCGTTTCGTGCTATTGTAGGACTCCTCAACACGATCCCTCTGCTCGCGAGATTCAAACTCAGGACCTATCAGTCTCGCGCGCGATTGCTTAACCATTAGATCATTGAGTCGGCATCCAATGGTGATAATGTCTAACTTCAATTAATTATTACTATTGATTGTTATTAGATTGTGTTGGATTGTTGTCAGTTTTTGTTATAGAAATATATTTACGTTCTAATCAGACTAATCACATGTTCTTGATCTGAGTTGTGTTGAAGTCCTGTATAAATAATAGACACTAGTAAGGAATCTAATATAGATAGTTCATCTACTGTAAACTGACGTCCTATTCGTAAAGACCAATGAGACGTCAAAATTATTGTAAAACATTTTGTTTATTAACGAAAATGTTGTTGATTCTTATTTTGTTTTTCTTTATAAAGTTAAATAAACAGTCGTGAAATTTGATTTTTTGTTGATTTGTTAGGTGTACACAAAATGTTGATATTGTAATTATTTACATTATATTAACTTGCTATTCATATTATACTGTTACGTCATCATTGTTTGTTTGTTTGTTTGTTTGTTTTTCATTGTTTATATCTGATCATGGAATCAATATTTAAAATTTTGTGTAAGTATATATATGTCTAAATGTATCCTGGGAATTATGGTTCACACTAACAAGGATATTAGTAGAAGGGAGTATGAAACAGTGCATACTTATATAGGGTATATAATATAAAAAGGGAGGATATCAAAAGGACGACCAATAAAAAGGCATATGTTGATAATGGTGAATATAGAAAGTTATTTACTCCTCGTCAAGGTGCAGAAGCCACCCACCAGCACTACTCCATCCAACTTTGTCCTGAGCAATCTTTTCCAGTTCTTTCCAATTGTTATACATCCTTTTCATGTCTGCTTTCAATTTTCAACATAATGTGTTCTTCTGCCTTCCTCTTTTCCGTTTTCTTTCAGGATTTCAAGTTAGCGCTTATCTTATGATGCAATCTGGTGATTTCCGTAATGCATGTGCTATTCACTTTCAACATCTTTTCCTAATTTCGTCTTCAAATGGAAGCTGGTTTGTCCTCTACCATAGTAGGATGTTTCTGATGATTTCCAGCCAATGAACATTGAGTATCTTGGATAGACAATTGTTTATAAGTAAATGTACTTTTTGGTGATAGTTCTACAAGTTTCAGCTTCATACAGTAGGACTGTGTTGATGTTCATATTGAAGATTCTTACTTTGATATTGGTTGGACATAGAAAGGAGAAATGAAATTTTTAATAGTGTGATTTGTGTTCAATCTGAGCATTATCCCTCTATTTTATGACGAATAGAAGTTGTTATCTTAACGTTTAATCAAATGTCTTATTCTTATTATTCATTCTCAATCTAGGAGATTAGATCGATGGGCAGAACACTTTAGGGATCAGTTCACCTGGCCTTTAGTCACACTTCGGTTTCCCACGATCTTCAGTCAACCTGAATGGCAAGTTGATGTGAATTCTCCAACTTTTTACGAAGTTGCAAAAGCTATAGGAAATCTGAAGCATGGGAGAGCGGAAGGCCCTAACAGGTTTAACCTTGAGATTTTTAAGGATGGCGGTCTTAGGTAGAATCTGGGAAGTGAACGTAATCTCATCTGACTGGTCTCAATCACTGATTGTGCCAGTCTATAAGAAAGGACAAAAGTCCTCTTGTGACAATCACAGAGGAGTCAGTTCGACTAATATAGTATCTAAAATATTAACTTCAATATTACTTCAACGCCTAATCAAAGCTCATGAAGAGCAGACTACAGAAAACCAGGCTGGTTCTCGACCTGGACGTAGTTGTATAGACTACGTCCTATAACATAGACACACGTTCAGACGCCCCACAATGGTAGTATTTCTCGACCTTAAGGTGGCATTTGACTCTGTTGATCGTGGAGTTCTATGGGAGTGTTTGTCACCGAAAGGAGTATGAAAGAAGTACATTAACCTTATACAGGCTCTCTACTCGAAATCAAGTGAGAGAATATGGAGAATTGTCATTATAATTGATTATTTCGAGTGGCGTTCGTCAGAGCCATCCACTCTCTCCATTCTTGTTTAACTTTGTTGTTGACGTGCTTTTAGAGATGATACTTTTCTCATCTAAATTTCCAGGGGTCGAACTTCTACCAGGAGATTCACTTGTTGACTCAGAATATGCCGATGACATAGTTCTATTTGGTGAAGACACTGATAAAATGCAGAGTCTGCTGACCACTCTAAGCAGCAATACAGGCATGTTCGACATGCGATTTTCTCCCTAGAAATACAAGATGTTGCTTTAGGATTGGGTTGC